GCAGCCATCATTCACGAGGGATCAGAGAATGACTTTATTTCAGAGAACAGGATGGGTGGGCTGAGTTTGCAGGTACTACCCTGGCAGCTGTGGGAAGAGACCGAGGTGGGCCCAGTCATACACAGCCAACCTGTACACCAGGGCTACTGTAGCTCTGAGCATCACTCCTTCAGTGATGCCAAGAAAGGCATTAGGAGTCCATGCTAGGGTGTTCCCAATAAGCCGCCTTCCAGGACTGTGACCAGCTCATTCTAAGCTCAAGTCCTTTCCCCAGGAGGGTGAGGGGCTGGGGGCCAAGGCCAGCACCGAAGACACAAGGGGCCCAGAGGCATGCAAATCAAGAAGAGGTCTTGAGGCATTCTCAGTTAGCCCAAATCTCACTTTGTCCCAAAGGAGGCTAAGTAACTGTTTAAGGTCACTATGAAGCGTATATAGTGATTTGGTGAAGATAATTAGTTTCATATTAAACTTTATATGTAGTGGGCTTGGGCATAAAATGAACAGAGAAGCTCAGGGGAAAGGTCAATCCAAAATGGCTGTCAAGACCTGGGCCGCTCAGGGTGCCCTGGATGGCATAAGCAGGGTGGCCGAAGAGGACATAGTTCGTGGCTCTGTCCACGTGCTCCTCTGTGTCTCCCACAGTGGCCCCAGGGGACTGAGCTTCCTGCGGGCGCCTCACCCAGTGGCAGGAAGTGTCCTGTGGAGCCTGCACACTGTCCAGCTGGGGTCTTCATGATGTCGGTGGCAAAGGAGCCCCCAGATAGGGCTGCCGTCCTGATGGGCTTTGCACAGCAGCCTCTCTTTATGCCACAGCGCTTGACCCCAGCAGCTCTCTGCCAGCTGATCGCAGGGACTCGCTGGAACCCTGCAGGATCTAGGCCCTGTCCATGCCATTTGGAGACTCTCCAGGTGACATCCTCCGGCATGACCATTATTTCTGGATTTAATATGCAAACAAGAAATCAGTAGATGCTAGTTCCCTTTCCTCTCCCTTGAGGAAGAAACAGATTTTCAATCTTAGGTGATGTCATATGACCAGAAAGATGGGCTCCTTAGTAACTGCGAAGGAAATGAAGTTCTGCTCACCGTGGAATTCAATCTCCAGTTCACAGATGTCTCCACCCCAGATCCCACGCGCTCCTCAGGAGGGCTGGGGAACCTCACTAGGGAGGGGCCGGCCAGCCCGAGGCAGATGAAGCCCTGCTAGTCTTCACCTCCCCGCAGCACACTGGCCAACTGATGGTCTTCCTATGAAGCTGTTTACCTGCCCAGTCACCTCTGTGAGGCTGCTGGCAGCAGGAGTTCCTGGGCGCCAAGGACAGGACAGCACCTGCCAGCCATGTGCCCAGGCTGGGTGGGGCTGGGGTGGGCACATCAAAAGCATTTCTAGTAACTAAAACAATTAGATGAAAGGCTAAACTTTGAAGATTCTATAATCTGTCAGGATTTATTTTCTCATTGTAAAGAAATATTGGCTTTGGGACCTATTTTAAGCTCGTAACTTGGTTTTCCTTTTCTAAAAGAGCCCTGGTCCTGTGAATAGGTGTCAGCAGCCACCAGCCCCGGTTGGACCAGGGACACAAGACACTCCAGCGGGTGCTCAGGCTGGTATGGACGGTCATCCTCAAGCTCATGAGGGATCCATCCTGCTACCCAGACCACCTCATCTCTAATTCTAACTGACATGCTGGAGTAACAGTGCAGATCCCTGCCCCTTCCCACAGAGTCTGTCTCATGGCAGGCGCCAGGCACCCCAGCTTGGCCAGAAGGACATTTTCCTCTCAGAAGATCAGATTTGGGCACAGTGAGGTAAAACCAGTGACAAACAAGAAGCTTAGAAAACTTCTCTGGGTATGTGTGTGCTCTGCAGCCTCTTCTCTGACTGCCCGGCATTTTTACTCCACTCGGCACATGATGGCTGTCCAACGGTGCCAAGCTGAGCCCCGGGCTCTCCACCTGGCTGTGACCATTCTGCTCGAGGGGTCTTACATTCAAGGCTGCCACCTGCTGCACACAGAGAGAGGAAAGGCAGCTAGACCGTCCCAGGCCTGTCACAGACCCGCTCCAAAGACAATAGCCCACCAGAGTTGCACATGCTCCCTTATTTTCCTGCCATCGGACCACTGTGACAAGTAAGCTTAAAATGTGTGGGAAGGTGGCGGGGGAGGGTCAGGTAGATGGGTGGGCCACACGGGAGTTGCTGGTTGTGTTTATCTGTTGCTGAGTTCTCAGAAGACAACTTGAGCTCTGACAGACATGTAGAAGCCAGGTGGAGAGCTCTCACCCTCAGCAACAAGTCACATGGGCCCTCTCATTTCCAACACTGACACTCCCAAAGGGGGCCTGCAGCACCTGGGGATTTTGTTCCAGAGCAGGATCCTTCTCAAGGACTTGAGGGCAGGGAGATACCTGTCACAGCTGGGAAAAGGATCCTACCTTACATACAATTTTGAGGGAAACTTACAGATTTGTACATGAAAATACATTTCACAGGTAGGATTTACATGGATTTATTTCTGTGATTATGTATAACACAACAGCATATTTACAACCTTAGGAAGAAACTCCTCAAATGCAGTATCTGCCACAATCATCGACACAAGTCACTGGAACTGGACACAGGCACACATAACAATATAGGTTTTCTAGGGGAAACACTAGCAGCCTCACAACTGAGGTCTACAATGAAAAAGGCAGGCAAACCAAAACCAACTTGGAATCAGGCTAATGCTTCCTAATTAAATGTCCTCTACCTGCCCCATCTGTAAAGCTTTCATCTACACAGAACATGTCTTTTGAACTTGGAGCTGCTGACTCTTCTCAATGAGCGTGGTGCGCTTAGCTTAATGACCACGTGGCAGAATGTGTGGCAGAAACAGCCTGAGCAGGATTCTGAGATGCAAATGCACTGACACGAGAATGCAGGCACTGAAGAGCTCATCAGCCACAGTGGAGTCATAGCCTCATCATCCTCAGACTCAGCCCCAAAACTGCAGAAGGCCCCAAGCACCGCAGGTGAGCGCCAGACAGAACACCGGACACGGGAGCTCCAGTTCTCCATCTGTTTGTTTATTTATTTTAAGAAGCACATATTGACAGCCAGCCAAGCACCAGCACGGAGCAACGCTGGGGATGTAACCCCCAGAGGCCTGGGATTTCTCCAAAGGAGATCAGGGTCTCATGATGTAAGGACATAGTCAGGGCTGATGGTTGCCTTGGGTCCCCAAAGTGCTGGAGGCAAATGTCCAAGAGAGCAGGTTGGAGGAGGCTATCAGGACCAGATGGGCCCCGAGCCTGGGTGTGAGCTGGGAAAGACCTGCACTATGAATGGAAAAGCCTGGGCAGGGTGGGTGGCAGGCAGAGAGGGATCCAGGGAGGTGTGGACAAGGAGTGTGGAAGGCCAGGGTAGGGGACAATAGGAGGTGCAGCTGGCAGAGCGGGACAGTCGGCTGCAGGGTAGGGTGTGGCTAGGAGGAGGCAGGAGGCTCCGCCTGCTGGCTCTGGGATCTCTGCCACTGCCTGCACAGGTCCCTTTTCCCTAAGAAACAGCATGCTCTGTGCTAAAGCTCAGTGCTATGTGTACATGTGCAGGGACTGCAGCGGAAATACACCAAGTGAACAAAAAAGAGGAATGCCCATACTATTTGTACACTCCTTTAGAGAGTAATTTTTCCTTATAAGACCTAGAATTTCTTTAAAATATTCAATTTTTGGTCAAGCATGCCTGAAGTTTAGGGCATAATCTTTACACTTACAAAAACAGACTAAATATTTTCTTTCATAAGATATATTGTACATTATTCTAAGAATGGAAAGGATTCACAAAGTGGTGAAGAGATCCCACAAACCCAAGTGAAGCAGCATCGTGTGACACAGGTTCTCACAGATCTTCACAGACACTCTCACCACCTCATAACTTGGCAAAGAAATCCTATTATTCAAATCTTGAAAGGCATTTCTACATATGCCTGATAAAACAGCTCATCCCAGCAGTATAATGCCAACTCGGACATTCTATGGTTTTCTTGTGTCTCATGTGTTACAAATGATGTTTACATTTAGAGAAAACAAAAATCTTTTAAACAAATCTAGATTTTACTAAGATGACAATGTGGTTGTGCAAATGTTTTTAGTGTATAAGTTCCCTCTTAAATTATATGAATCTTGTCAGTTTTTAGGGGAAAAAAGTAAATATAAAAGGACTGTTGACATAGTTAAGCTAATTCAAAACACAGTAAAATTCGGGATGACAACAGTGCTATGCCTTCCACACACATTCTGCTGTATCATGAGCCCACTCAGGAGCCTGAGATGCTATAAACATGCCTTTCTTTTCTACTGGTTTAGGGTGAAAAGGCAAGAGACAGTATTTTTCTTTAAGAAAACATCCTAAAAAGTTGAAAATGCAAACTGGTTTTTTTTTTTAAAGTGAAAACAATCCATCTCCAAAACATATAAAGGGACAGTTAGACTGAGCAAAAGGCACTTCTGCCTGAAAGCGCACGTCACAGGGAGGTGAAATTGTTCAGTAGGGACATGCTGCGTGGAACATTACCATGAGCACAGAAGCACTCTGTTCCCTTGGGACCCCTCGTGTGCTTGCCTTTGGGCTCAACAGCAAGGTTTTATTCCTGAAGACACCGGCACAATAGCTGTAACTGTTTGCTTTCCACCTTAAAGACCTACAGAATTTCACTACAGACCAAGACCACCTCAGCTTCTGCGTGCAAAAGAGCTGCACTTAGCTGCTGCACATTTACAAGAAGCTAGCAAAATGGCAAGTGATTATCCCAATATGTATCAATAACAAAAGAAAATACATCCAAGGCATCACTTTTCTCAGAGGGAATGGATGACTTGCTAACAAGCGATCATACAGTTTAAATATACAACACAACCATGCTGTTTTACAGCAACATCGTCTCACAGCTTCTGCACCTGTTAGAAAAAGCACCCTCTCGGCTCATTTTCAGTGCTTAAAGTCAGAAAGACAGCATTACCATTGGCAGGAAGGTAGGTGAAATGCTGGTACTGGCTTCTCTTTCTCTTCCCATTGCAGACATAGAAACTGACTTGGACAGGGCTGGTTATTCTCTGGTTGCGGAAAGGTGGTATTTCAACCACCAGGGAATTCTATTGAGAAAACAGCAAAGAGGAACCAGATTAGCATCTTACAGACTAAAACCGCTTTGTGTTAAAGCACCATACACAAGCTCCTCTGTCAAGTCTCAACTGCCTAGTAGATCTCTGCAAACAGCCAGCTCTGGCTACCCAGAGATCCTTTAAGGGTAGCTTGCATATGTGACACATGCTCAAGTGTTTGAACTAGGCTTGGCCAGCAGGTGTGCTCGCTCACAGAGAAGAGGCCAATTTCACTCTAGCTCATCCAGGAGCCAGGAGATCTTTGTGGTGGGTCTGAGCCCACATGGCCTGAGAGACAAGCTGTGAGCACCAATGCCAACTGTCTGCTTGAGAGCTGAGGCTGCCTGGCTGCCTCCCAGGCAGGAAAGGTCTTCAGAAGCATGTGCCTGTCCTAACACCCAAGGATCAGTGGCATCAATCTGAAAGCACCACACTGGCCTTGCTGTAGGAGACACTGAAGTGACACAGAAGCCTGTGCAGGTGCCTGCACACAAGGTGGGAGGAGGAGGCGCTTCTCGGGGACACTGTCTCTGGGGGCAGACCAGGTATGACACTGGCCACTCTGCCCACATCAGAATCCCAGACTCGCTAAAATTGAGGAGGAAAGGTAGTGCTCGCTCCAGGGTGGGGGTTGGTTAAGTGCACCGGCAGATAGAATGGGGCGGTTTACGGTGGCTGCTATTTCCCTTTTGTGTTTTTAAACAAAAAAGTCAGCAGTGGTTTTACAACAATCATGGCATCTCAAGGACAGATGTGAAAAGCAAGCCAGAAGAACTTGGTACCAAGTGGGAAACCACGGCTGGGAGTCAGAACAGCCAGACCCAACTGGCTGAGCAGCCGCAAGCTGGCAGGGGCCTCAGCGAACCCCGCTCTGCGGTGCTGGGTTCCAAGGAGGGCTGCTGTGCAGGTAGCACCTGATTTCTAGGAGTATTTCAAAGCTATAAAGTCTCTGCATTTTTTAATCATGTGATTTTGGTTTATCAAGTAAGGAAAATGTGTAAGAAAAATCTATTGTATCACTTCTTTTGTTAAAGTAATTAGCTGTTAAAAGTGCTAATTATAATTAGCAAGTGCTGTTACAATTGTAGCAAATCAATTGTGCAAAATCGATTGACTCATGCTAATAATACATTACAGAAGTTAGAAACAAAGACTGAAGAACAGAAAACTAAGGTTCAACCTCTTCCATGTACAGATGAAGAAACTCAGGCCACAAGCCTACCACAGGGGACTGGTGGGTGCCAGGCCCAGCTTGAGGGCCCTGGGAGTCCTTCCCCCGGGTCCCACTTGCTCAGAGCAACCTGCTTTGATTGTTTTATCACAAGAAGGGAGAAGGAAGCACACAGGCCGGCACTCTGCTCTCTCATCAGAACCATCCCAGGCAAAGAGCTGACAGCCAAGGATGGAGATGGAGTGGGAGGTGTGGCTTTGTCAGTGCCCAGGGGCAGTCTGTGCCTCGAGGCAACCCGAAGCCCTTCCCTTTCTGCCCTGCTGCTGGCAGTCTGAGGAGGAAGCCCTGCAGCCTGAATCTGTTTCCTTACTGCCCGAAGTGGTTTCTGAGGACTCAGCCACACAAAGGGGACACAGCAGCAGTGCCACTGCCCGCATACAGCTGTGCTCAGCAAGGGCCGGCCACAGTGAGACAAAGAATTCGTCATGGAGCAAGAAGCAGAGTAAGGACAAAGAAAGGAAACACCTCTCTGATGCTGTCTCCTGGGCTCAAGTCTTGATGTGGTCATAGCCTGATACTCTCTAAAGAGACAAATCTCGGGACAAAAATACTGCCTCTGTGGGTGCACTGTGCTTGAATAGAGTAGGAAGAGAAAAGAGATGGAGAGGAAATGAAGTGATGGGAAATCTTGTCAGTATGGGAAAAAAAGTTTCAAATGGCACCAACACATCCATGCGACTTGCTTTAATGTATACTGTGTGCATGTGTGTGAGCGTGTGTGCCCTGCCCCACGACAGCCAGCATTTCCTGAAGGCCTGCTCAGGTGAAAGCCAGAAAAGTGACAGAGACAGAGCTGTGAGTGGACAACAGGCTCCAGAGGAGATTGAACACCACTAAGGACGAGTCACCCCAAGAAACAGGCGGCAGCCCCTGGAAAGGTGGGCTGAAGGTGCAGCATAAAAGATGCTTTTTCTGACAGAGCCACCTACAAGGAGGGAAGTGGGCTGAACCTGTAGCAAACATGCAACAAGTGCCCTTCAAGTGCTACATTCCCTTTCCTGCCAAGATGAGACTCCTTGAGGGGTTCCGGGCCCAACTGTCCCTGCTCACATGACTCCCAGGAGCTAATATGTCCAGGAAGGCCAAAAAAGTCCTTAGTCCAGAAGACGCTTCTGAATCTCTTTCTCTCACTCTCTCTTTCTTTCTCTCTCTCTCTCTCTCTATCTCTCTCCCTCTCTCTCTCTCTCTCTCTCGCTCTCTCTCACACACACACACACACACACACACACACACACAGTGTACACAGAAGCCTCCCTGCTCCCCACATTCACTTGATGGGCCACTCAAGACACTGTGATAGTGGTCAGAGGAAAAAGCATCAAAAGATGGGACAACTATGGTTTCCTCAAAAAACTGTTTTCTAGTCATGATGTATGTTATGTTCTTTTAGGACAAGGCAGAATCCACATACAAGACTCATTGGCAGATACTAATTCAATTATATCAACAGCACTTTACACATCAATGGTCTAAGTCACTCATTAAAAGACAGTGTCTGAGAAAAGAAAGCAGAGCTTTAGAACAGAAAACAAGACCCAGTCTGTGTTGTGTCAAAGATGCCCACTTTTGTTTACAGACGCAGATTGGAGGTGAAGGGCTGGAGGAGCATCTACCATGCAGCAGTAGTAGCATCAATTTTGGACAGAAATGGGTTTCATGATTAAGTGATCAAAGAACAATAATTTATCATAGGTACCTCCAATGAGCAAATGATACCAAGAAACTACGATGGTAAAGCAGGAATGTGGGCACAAACTACATGCTATGGGTAGCTGGAAACACTGACTAGAGACATCAACCACAGATCATGCCACACTTGCCATGACTTTCAGCACATGCACATCCACCGGCTCACTGGCAAACCCAAGAAGTAGATCAAACAATCTGGTTAGAGCTGACCTTGTATCTATGTCAAGCTCAAAAGAAGCATCAACGAAGCAGTTGGGATGTTCATTCTCTAGAGAGGGTGGTGTTAAGTCACTGCCAAGGACACTGGTGAAACCCTGCTTCCAGGTGGCACGTGTCTGGGCAGGTGCTGGGCACCCACTTGGGAGGCTTGGAATGCCGTGGCTTCCTAGGGGCAGCCCCTCGTGCAGGGCAAAACCCCTGGCAAGGATACCAGGACCGCAACAAGAGGCACAACTGTTCCTGCCATGCACTCCTCTGGGGATGCTCAGGGCCTGGCACATATGACTCAGGTGCTGGCTGCTTTCTGGTGTCTTAAGAGAGATGAGACCTCAAGCCCAGCCCAGCCTGTTGTCTTCCTGGCCACCGTTCACCATCCTGATTCTCTTCTGCTGTTATTTTGCATCATAACAGCACTTGTTTCAGCAGGTCTTACAATTGTTTTACTACTTGTTCTATTTTTTATGATTGTTTCATTTAAAGAAACAATAAGCCCACCCTACTCAGGCCCTCCTCATGCAGGACTGAAGGGTACTTACTGGCTTGCACAGGTCTCTGTCAGTTTTTGCCTCCATCTCCCAGACATGGTGACCATCTAGAAGAAAGGGCAGGAAGAAGTTTGTCACTGTGGTGGGAAGCCTGTCCCTCCAAACCTCTCAGATGACTCAGGCACACAGGGCATACAGAGAAGAGGTTGAAAAGGAGAGCACATCCCAGCCTGGGGCTGTGGTCAAGGGCAACAGCCTGGGGCCCAGGGACAGCTGACTCTCACAGCTGGGGGTCATGCAGTGGTCCGGCACGGGGGTGGGGTGGGGTGGGGCTGGGAACCATGAGCTCCAGGTGGCTGTGCCCAGGGCTCCTTCCAACCATGGCCTTCAGGTACAGCCACACTGCCTGTGCTCAGCAGCTGTCCCAAGCCCAGGTTCACGAGTGTCTCACCGGCCCAGCACAGTCAAGAAGGGCTCTCCGCACCCTACCCATCTCCAGCAGAGAATGCCGAGGAGAAAGAAGGCGACCCACAAGCCCAGTAGGAGGTACACTAGGCCCAGACCCAGCCAGCTCTACCACTTGCCCCAGCCCACCTAGCCCCCTGTACATTTTGGGAACAGAAGGTAGAGCTTGAGAGGCCTATCCTCTGCTCAGAGGAACTGCTGGGGAAATAAGAAAAGTCTTTCTTTGACTACTTGCCACATCAGGACACAGCAATGCAAAACACACGGTATTTTTAACCTTAGCCTAATGGCCGTTTGCATGTTTTTAAAAAAGTGAAAAGGCTCCCGGAGGCACACTGAAAGAACTTACTGTTCTCTGCTGGTGGCACAGAGTGGTCCCTTCACTCAGGGGATGGGATATCTGCCACTCACAAGCGTTGTGATGCTGACCCTCTGACCGTACACTGAACACCGTTCGGGGTGGGCACTGTGAACTGATGTGCTTCCACCCCAGAGGTCTCTTTTCCTCCTCAGCTTTCTAGTCTCCAAAATGAAGCCACTGCCGGGATGAACAGTTGTAGGACCACACACTTATTTTTGGCTTAAACTCTATTTTCAAAGAAAAAATGTGTCTGATACAAACCTACATTAATGATAAATCAGACAAATTCTCCTTTTTCCTCAGTGCTGGGCAGGGTAGAGGGCAGAGGGTGGAAATATGAGTCACCCAACTGTGCCATGGCCATGCCAGCCTCCAGGATGCCCACAGCATAGCACAAAGTACTCACCAGACAAACCCACCCAGGGCCCTGGTATGGACTGGCACCCAGCCTCTTCTGGGAAAGCAGCACAAAACTAAAAATACCCAGCTACTCTTAAAGCAGCAGTTTCACAAAGCAGGAGCCCCTGGAGTCTGGCAGCTCAGGGACTTTGGCAAAGAAGCACGTTTAACCCCAGCCACATGTGCTCATACATATGGAGAGCCCATTGGATGGCTCTCGTGTGCGTCTCCTGCCTACCTTAGCTCCTACTTTTTGGTCCAGATGCCCCCTCCCACTCTGTTCATCACAGATACAGCTACTCCTCATATAACAAGGCACTGTTTCTGGGCTATCCTAAAACCACCTCTGAAGCTGCAGGAGCTGCCTCCCCACACACAGGGTACACTAGCCACTGTACAGCCTCTGCCGAGCTAAGAACTGTGGCCATGGTGACACATCACTGAGAAGCTGTCCTGAGAAGGTGCACGCCTTGGCTGGAGGAGAAGCACAGACAGCGCATGTGCTGAGAGAGGAGGACATGAGGTGCTCCGTCGTGGGGGCATCCTAGTTCACAAAGCCCTAAGAGGAGATGCTACAGCCCCTGTCACCTCCCAGGAGAGACAGGGGCTCCTCACCACTCATCCTCTCACAGCACAGCTGCCTCCTGCAGTGGTGTGCTTTGTAGGTTCAGGTCACAAGCTGGAAATTAAGTGCAGCACAGGGATGGAGGTGGCTATGCAGAAGGAACCACTTTCTTTTTTCCCAGGCCACGTGGCCTATGGGAGGGGCACTCCTTGCTGGAATGCCCTCCAGGGAGCCCACTTGAGCTGTTTCACTGCCCAGCACCTGCCTGGCCCACCACTCACCACCAACAGAAGGACACCACCCATCTATACTCCCCAAGTTGCACCAGCGTCAATCACACATAACACATGGTTTCCCATTAAAAGTTGGGCTTCTTGGAATCCCCAAAATGTATGTGCCACATTCAAATGTATGTGCCTGGAGTTTGCTCCGGTTCTCCTGCCCACCTGGGAGGAAGGTGGAAAGATTTCCCCCATGTGCAGCTATCACACAGGTGAGGGGTGCAGGTGCTGGCTCTTTGGGACCTGACTGTGGTCTTTTAAAGGCAAATACATATTTGTGATTAGAAATGCACATAAAGCAATTGTCCCAGCATAGACAAAGGGCTAAGGCCAGGCAGAGATGCTGCTCAGCAGGCGAGCTTTTGGGAGTTGTTAGACTAGTTCCCATCTCCACATCGCCACAGTGTTCGCTGGGAGGTGGCCCCTGCTCTCCCAAGACAACTGCAGCCTTCAGATCTGCCAATGGTATCCTCTGCAAAAGCGCCCACGCGAGGGGAGACCAGCTGCAGGGCTGTTCAAACTCCAGCTTCTGCCAGGAGGGGAGGTGGTCACTCTGAAAGGGCCTTTGTTCTGCCTTATCAGGAGCTCCCTGCTCTCAGTAGGAAACTGTGCCCAAGTCCAGAAGTAAAAATATTCCAAATCATTAGGGAATTCCCTGCAGTGTGAGTCATCAGAAAGGCTTCCCCACCACACCCACTGAAGGTTTCCACACAGCCGGGCCTGCGGGGCTGGGGCAGTTCTGCAGGCTGCTGGACGCTGCTGCCACGGGCTGGGCTCACAGGCCAATCACTCCAGGGCTGTGGGCTGAGCTGCTGTTTCCACAGGGGAAACAGCTGAGCATTTACTCAGGAGCCGAAGGCTTTCCTGAGACAGTCTCCTAGATCCTCCCAGGGCGGGCAGGAAGCCGCATCCTGGAGCTGCCGCTGTTGCTCTGGCCTCAGGGGCCGGGGCACAGTCCAATCAACGCCACTGTGCGAGGGACCAGGATGAAACAATGAGGTGCACAGATTCAGAAGAATGCATGGCAGGGGCAGGCACGCCTACCCTGGCTCTGCACAGACTGACAGTGAGACTTGACAGCTCTCAGCCTGAAAGTGCCCATCCTTTCTGGTCTGTGTGCCTGCCTGGAAGCATGGCCTCACCCGCCTCAGCAAGACTCCAGAGTGCAAAGGAGATTCCCCAGATGCTTTGGAAATCAGCCTTGAGCCGGACACATCTGCACGGAAAGTCGCTCATCTGCTGACAGCAGCTGCAACCACCAAAGAGCAGACATAGCCCACGTGTCCACCAACTGAGCCACAGACAGACGAACGGTGGCCTGGCCACATGGTAGAGTACTATTTATTACTCAGTCCCAGAAAGGTACAAGGTGCTGATACCTGCTGCCACATGGATGAGCCTTGAAAATATTCTGAAAGCCACACACGAAAGGACAAACATAGTCTGATTCCACCGGTGTGAAAGAACCTGATCAACCAGATCCAGAGTCATGGAAACGGGGTTAGTGGTCCCTGGGCTGGGGGATAGGAAGTGAGAGGACCGGGTGATGGCTTCTGTCATTCTGCTGCCTGTTGCTATAACAGAATACGTGAGGTTGGGGGGTTATAGCATCCCTCAGACGCTCAAGGGGACCTCGTGTAGATGGCACCACAGAGTGGAGAGTGTGGAGACCACACGGCCCGCTAAGAAACCAGGAGTGGGCCCCAAGCTCACTCCTGATGACACCTCACCCACTAGCTACCTGGCACCCTCCAGAACCACCCTCATCTCCTCTAGGGCAATGCTCCACCAACCCAGTCATCTCCCCAAGTCTTTCCCATCTCCCATGTGGCCGCTCTGGGGACAATGCCTCCAGCACATAAACCTCAGGGGACCACAAGTGCTGCTGATGGGTAAGAGAGAGACAGAAATGTCCTGCAAGTATAACTGTGCCAAAACCACGGACCACACACTCAAGAGTAAATTGAACAGTGCGTGAACTGCAGATCACTAAAACCAATATAAGAAAGTCACTATCTGACATAATCACGAGTGATACTGTGCTCAAACACCTGGGGAAGCCCTGGAATACCTGGAGAGGACAAGGAGGCCCAGCTCCCCATCTGTGGGAACTCAGTGTGCTTCTGTGCTGCTGCACCATTCCCAACACCAGCGAGGCTGATCCCTTGGCAGTGGGGTCCAGGACAAGAAACTGCTGCCAGGGAGGGCCCTGGGTCAAGCCCACTGTCTGGATACTCCAGGGGCGGGGAGGCTAATCGGAAGGGGTGGCTCTATCATCACACCCAGAGACAACAGGAAGCAAAGCTCCACTGTGCCCTAGTGTGCCCCTAATATCCTCTGGCCCTGCCTGCAGGAGTCCCGAGGTCATTCCCGCTGCCACTTGCCACTCTCCAGCCATGTGTCCCAGCAAGGAGTACTTGTGACGCCTGCAGAGGTCAAGTGGAGGTCAGCAACTCCACAGACCAGTAACCAGCCTCCACTGCACCCAGCTCACTCTCCACTGCTATCTGCTAGGCATCTGACTTCAAGATTGGCCAGGAAGCCAGTGGAAGAGTCTAGTGCCTCCAAGACGTCTGGCTGACAAGTAGAGTGCCCAGGGTCTGGGCTGTGATAAGAATAATGGTGGGCTCTTCCTACAGCAGCCTGCCACCTCCCATTATAGACTGCCCAGGGTGGATGGACTCCATCATCATGAAACTTCTCTGGGTCATTTCCTCCAGGGCCTCTCTGAAACACCGCAACTCTGGCAAGAAAAGGTTTCTGAAGGCAGGACTGTCCCACCCATGGCATTAGTCTCTCATGGAAGCCAGCTAGTGGCGGACATGGCCGTGGGATCCAGTTAGGAGAACACAGAGTGCCTTGAGGGTAGCCACATGAACCCCACTCCATGAGGTCAGCACTGCAGTATTTTTTGTCTGTGACGGAGGCCGGCACATGTGTGCAGCTGATGACGTGCTGTCCCTGGGAACAGACACTGCCCTTCCCAATCTTTCCCTTTCCTATTGCAGATGGCCAGAGAAGTGGAAAGAAGAAGGT